CTGGCCAGGGATCAAACTTGTGCTGCAGTGGCTGAGGGAGCTTCATAGGTTGCATCTTAACCCCTTGCACCGGCAGGGAGGCCCTCAAAACATATTTTAATCTAGTATGGTACATTTGCCTGTGATGGCGGCTGTAAGGATGAATGCAGTACAGTCTGGGACTTCAGAATAGTCATAATGTAGAATAGTAGGCAGGCACAACAGGTCATCACAAAACAGTAAGAGAGTGGAATGACAGAGGTGTGTGTGAGGCCCTCTGAGTGGTTACAAGTAGGCACCTCTTGTCTGAGGACAGTATGTGTGTGGTGTGTGAGTGTGTGTGTGTGTGTGTGTGTGTGTGTAAAGTTATTCTGGTAGGGGGTTATCTGAGTGGTGCCCTAATTAATTTGGGACTGGAGCCAGAATATAAGAGAGAATAGGGCATTCTAAGCAGTGGGGAAGGATGAACATGGGCCCAGAGGAAGCAGCAGAACATATTTGCCAGAAATCACATGCTGAAACACAAGGAATAGAGAGAGGCATGATCCCCAGTGGGTAGGTTATAACAGGCATTGTACAATAGGCTGAGGACCCCAGATTGTAGGACTTCTGCAGGCACCAGGAGTCATTCACTTATTCAATGGTATTTCCTGAATGCCCACCACCTGTTGGACACTGTGCTGGATCCTCAAGATGTAATGGTGAACACACCTGACTCCAGTTCTGTCTGCATGCAGCTTGTGTTCTAGTACAGTTGAACTCTTTTAAAACTGGGGAGTGATGAAGGCCTTAATAATAACAGCAGTCACTAAGATGGAAAATGAGATTTATTTGGGAACTATTCAGAGGTGAAAACAGACAAGACTGATGACTAATGGATGGGGAGCTGGTGAGAGAGTGGAAGGGGGAGAGGGAAGCAGACACATTGATGGCTCTCAGATTTATTCTATGGATGAATGGGGTGACACCTACTAGAACTGAGAACAAAGGAGAATGACTAAGCATTTGGTGGAGAGATGAAGTTTTGCTTTATTCAGAAGACATGATGATTTTGGAAGTTGCAGTTTGTCTGTTGGAAAGTTGGTTAGTGGAAGAGCAACTAATGATAGATTTAATTTAGTTCACTTAGTGCTGATTGTGAGTGCGTACCACACACTATGCCAAGCCAGGAAAGAAGGAGACTGGGAAGATTCAGATACCATCCTTGCCCTGGAGGAGCCTATAATCAAGGAGGTCATGGTTCCTGTTTCACTACCAGATGCCAGTACAATTGCCTTATTAAAACACACACACACAAACACACACACACACATCACTCAATGCATTTTTTTAGCTCATCATTGAAAAAACTTGTTTTGAAGCATTCTTGAGGACTGATGGAAGGAAATGGAAATGTTCCACAGAAGATATGGTGAGAATCATAGCTTGCTTCAAATATTGAAAGTGATTGTCTTTAAGGGTCCCAGGACTAGCTAAAAAATGAGTAGAAATTAAAGGGAAATTAAATTGGTTTATTTTTTTATATGCCATATTCACACATTAACCAAGAAGAACTTCCTGATGGAGCAAAGCCTCTAATTGACTGACTCCACTTTTGACAAATGAAGTAATGTGTGGACCACTGGCTTTCAATGGTGAGTTGGACTGTAGACTCAGCGACCTTTAAGGTCTTTCCAGTCCTGTTTTTGTGTTTTTTTTTTTTTTCTTCCCCTGTTTAGACCTGTGAATATCTCCTAAAAGAGTGGTTCTCAGACCTTTAAAGAATCTTAGTCCTTTGAGAATCTGATGAGAAGTTATGGACATCACACCCAGGAAGAAAATATGCAAGTGTGTACATAAACACATGTACTGTTAAAATAAGACCCTGACCCCTCTGAAGTCTTTCACAGGGTGTCCGTGGACTTTAGGTTAGGACCTCATGTCTTATTGGATTTCCAATAGACGAGAACAGAGCCTTCACTTACTCTGAAATCATATACATTGAGGAAAAAAGCCTCTTTGGGACTTAATTTAGAACCATGACTAAGGTTTGCTATACATCTAATGCAATGCATCATTGATGTTATTCTGTCAACCTTACTTTACAAATGGCCCCGAGCAGCTCACAACTTCACAGATATATGAACCTAATCATATGCACAAATTTTATTTTTAAAATAATAATGATGTTGTTTGGTGTAACCACATAGAGTCACAGAGATATGTTACTGTAACTGAGATTCTCTGGTAGATGAATTTTGGGGGAGTTCTTTCTGATTAGGTCTGTCTTACATATTTATACTAGAAGAGTTCATGAGCTATTTCTGATGCTCAGACTTTAATCATGCTTAATGAACTGAACTAAGCATAATTCTTGTTCTGTTTTGGTAACCTTGTGGATTTCTCCTACTGCTCGGTTTCGTGTGACTACACCATTCTTGAAATGCTAATACCCAAAATGCTAATTCAAGAGAGGACCACAAAAGTTAGATTTCATTTCAGAGAAGTGCATTCAGTGCTCACAGGCCTTTCCTGAAGAGCAAGGCTGTGAGAAGAATGCTATTAGGTGGGAAACACTGGCTCCTACCTTTGGTGAACACACAAATTTAAACATATAGGTTGCACAAAATTTGGATAAACTGAGGTGGAATCCAACATTTCTTGCATGAATGCCTGTATAATGTGGCGATAGCTGTGAGAAAAGAGGAGCCCGGCATCTAAGACCCAACACAATGAAAATGCAATGAATCGGAATGCCTCACAGATCATAGCGGAATCAGAATTTCCAGCAAGGAAAATCTTTTCATGGTGAATTAAGTGGTGGATGAAGAAAAATGGTGATGAAAAAAGGTAGGCACAGATCACAAACACTGGGCTCAGGGCTCACTGCTGAAGATTTAAGAACCTTAGCTAAAGCAATGCAGAATAGAATGTGGAAAATTGAATTTACTAAACAATTAAGCATTGAATTAATCTACATCCTGCACAGTAGAAAAGTGGGGGAGGGAGCAGGGCAGAGCTGAATAAATCAGTGGAGCTCATTAAAAGATAGTGAATATATCAGGTCTGTTGTAGCATAAAGGAGGACAGTTTCCTGTATAACATGGAATAATTCTTTGGTTCTAAGTCACCTTTCTGGAGTCCTAGTCTTAATCAGATTAACAAGCATGCTTCTGATGAGGTTAGACTGTTGCTCTGTATTTTAGCTTGTTATCGCTAGCTTTTCTATTAATTACAAGTCAGATCACCAGTCAACAATAGTAGTGAGGGACAACATAAATAAAATGAGAGTGCCCAGGAGATGTCACTCGCAGGATCTCATGCATCCTGAAACTCCCACGGGTTCCTGCAGCCTCCCACATGCCTTGCCGGTCTTTTGTTCAATTACAGTTAATGCAATAGTTTGCCATTTTCTCCTTCTAATTATATTTTCAAGTGGGATTTGTAGCACATAGAAAAACATCCTTTTACATGTCGAGGCACCGGGGTTTTGTGCCTGGCATTGTCTGTCCCCTGGGTGCTGTACCATTCTTTCTGCAGAGCTCTGAATAAACAAGTCCCCCTTTTAGAGCTGCAGTTGTACAAACTGAAAATTTATGCATTAACTGTTTGCATTCTGAGCATGTGTTCCAGATTATGTCTTACAGCATTCTTCTGGTATGCTGCAGAATGCGTGTTTGTCAAAAGCACTTCTTTCACAGTTCACATATCTTTCAATCACAGAATCAGCAGATCAATTAGCACTGTTTTGAGAATATACATAATGGTTGAGTCAAACCTATAAGTGGTGCCTCTTTTTGTGACTTCATTTAATTTTTCAGGCTGCGTTAATCTTCTGGCCAAGATTATGGAGTAGGTGGCGGGCAAGCATCTTTTCAGGAACTGGGAAGCTTTCCCTTTGATTCTTACACAGCGCCTCTTAGATGGGATCTTTACTTTTCTCTCCCTGGGTGTCTGAAACATTTTGATCTCCTCCACCCTTCTTATCTTCTCTGGGATATGAAAATACTTGTCAGGAAATAAGCAAAGAGGGCTTTGCTTATGCTAGGCATATTAAAAACGTGGAGAGGGCCAGTAAACTTTGTACTATACGGTCATGAACCATGGTATTCGATGGCTGAGATGGTGTATACATATTTGACATCCAAGATCGCCCTGCCTTCCCGCTAATAGTCTTGAAGACAAATGTCACTTCCAAGCCAAGAACCAGCTTTCTATTTTGCCTCATTCCTACTGTGCAGGATGACCAGTGACTCATAAGACTGTTTCTGAAAGCTAGCACTAAAAGCTAATTAAAATCTTTTCTGGTGATAAAGGAGAGATTTGGGAGAAGTGTCGCCATGATTGTTTTCCTCAAGAATTTAATTTACAGCCAATTTTTCCTATTTCAATGTTACTTTCAAATGCACCCAGTGATAAGATGCAACATCTGTTTTCCGTTCAATAGTACAAGAAGGCTCGGCATGGGGCTGAGTGTACACAGTCCATGTGAATCCATTGTTATTCTCATTTCTTTTTTGTCCCGGTGCCTGGTCCATTTGCCATGTACCACCAGGCAAACAGCTGACACATACTAGCTATTATGAGCCCCGGCCTAATTGTGAGTTCTTAAAAGCTCTGCCATGTTTGTCTTCTAGGATGAATCAGAGGCCTGTATAACCACAGTGCTGTAGACCCCCACTCTCATTTTGCAAGTGCAGAGTAGCAGACTGTGATGCCAGAGGGTTTGTTGATGTTAAAAAATATAGTCACAATCAAGTGGCAGCATTTTTTCTTCCTTTGTCTGGAATGGTTTTTGTTTTCTTTGCTTGTAAAGCATGCAATTACTTACAGAGTAACGGTAGATATTCGTTTAGCTGAGAAGCAGACATTGGCAAATTTTGCAAGTGCCAGCGGAGCCTGAGTTGGAGTTGTTTGTGGAGAGGGCTGAGGACGAGGGCGTGGCTGCCCGCTAGCCTCTGTTGCTTCGTCATTCCGTGATGGCATCCTACCTGACCAGTGTTAACACACTACTCTTTGGATTTCTGATTTGTGCCCCACAGCCCTCTTGGAACAGAGATCACGATGACACGGCATCTACCCGCTCAGGAGGAACCCCAGGCCCTTCCAGCGGTGGCCACACATCACACAGTGGGGATAACAGCAGTGAGCAAGGTAGGAGAGGTTGTTGCATTTGGTTACTTATTTCTTTTTTAAGGATTGGAAACTCTCACACATGTCTAGTTAGTTACTATTTAAACAGTTTTTCCTAGACCATAACCCCCCTATCATTTGAGAATCAGCTTCTTTTATTTTAGACCTCCCACCCTTTTCTTCTTCTGTGCATTTCAGCTGCCCGACTGCCTGTCACCTGGCCACCTTTGTTAAACAGGGCCAGTGAATTGACCTAGCACAAGATGAGAGAAGTAGATTAGAAGCTCGAATGTGCATAAATAGTATGCCACTAATACCCTGCTATGCAAATCCAAACGATTACTATGACTTGTCCTCAGAGGCTTTCAAGAGATCATGAAGAAACACCCACTAAGATTCCAAGTTAATAATGTCTTAAGATGCTTAGAAGGCAAGGGTACTTCAGAAACCCATGTTGGGTTCCCTCTCCCCTGGGCTGAAGCCATTTCTGGACTTATCTGAATCTCTTATTGAAGAGTCAGACTCCAGGAAGTTAGGAAGAAATGAAAAGAAACAAGACCAGTGTAACCTGCATGATGTGACTCTCCACGCAAATGCTTGGCCGCCTATATCCTGCCTCTAGCAGGAAATGAAGTTTAAACATAAAGTTAAACTAGCAGTGGTGAATGAGTGTTCAGGTGTCTTGTACTGCTTTGGATGAGATCTCCCGCAGTGGATTTTGCATTCAGTGAATGCAACCAAAGTTTAAAAGAGCATTCTCTGAGTATAAAAATATGACTTTATTGAAGTTGACTCTGAGCCCACAGTAGGTGCATACTTTAAAATCTGGTTTTGTGATCGTGTTTCACTGGAGTGCTGTGACAACAAAAAGATTTTGTGTTCTGACTTAATTGGGCTATACCAATTAGAATTGCAAAACCTACAATGAATTTAATATGATAAACTTGAAAACAAAAAATGGCAAGTTCATTTTTTTAGGCACATGTATGCTGTTTGGGCCAGGGTAACTCCCAAACACAGAGATTTAAGTATTTGGGACATTATATTGTACAAAGAAAGTTGCTGATTTCATCGCAACTATAAGTGTAGTCAAAATGGAGCCTGGAATAGTAAACTGGTTCCCAGCTGAAGCAGAAACAGGTAACCTCTGACCTCTGACTTTTGCTGGAAAATGATATGCAGCATAAATCCAAGGGGCCTTTCCTCTTTCAAGTATTGCACGCGTATGGTGTAGTGTTGCTGTTCACAGCGCGTAGTTAAGGTGATGTCAGCACTTTCAATAGAAAGCTGTACTTTCAGGATTTGACTTACACCGTGAATTTGCAGGAAGGTATATATGGAATCTAAATTCTTCCCCATCCCACCCCCATGTCCACAATTGTTACCATGGGGTCATAGCCTACTGTTTTCTTTGTTTTCCTTTTCTTGCTTTTTAGAAAATATGTCATCACAAACAAGCAGATAGTTTAGCTGCTGTTCTGTAGACTAGCAAGCTGCTGCAGTGTACTTGAATATAGATTATAACACACAGATTTTCTCAGACATAATCTGATAACAGGAATTTCTTCAGGCAAATTCCCCCTCCTATTTCTTCCTCTCTGGCATGTCATAACAAGGAATTAGGAATTTGCATGTTTCTTTTCCCTTCAACTGGTGTTCTCCAAGGCCAATTTAAGGATGTATTTGATTATAAATAGGAGTCCTACATCCTCCACATTACTGAAGTTTTCCACTTACGTTTCTTATATTTTTCTTATATTCTATACGTCCTTATATTTTTCATATAAGGTCAGTATAGATAAGATCAAATAGCTTTTTTCAAAGCATTTTCACATAAATGATCTCACATGAACCTTTTTAAAAGAATCCTAGGTGACAGTAAAGCAAGCCTACCCCTATTGGACAGATGAGGAAAATAAAGTATGTATGAATTGAGTACTTTGTTGAGCTTGCCATGTATAGTCAGACCGAAAATTTCAGACCGAAACCTTCCTGATTATTTATATAAGATTCTTCTCATCACACCCTCTGCTCGGCTCTCCACCAAAGAACTAAAGTTGATTATTTCCATGAGATGACCTAGAGCTTTCTGTGCTGGTTCCCCTGCCTGCCCTGCCCCAGCTTGATAACACAGGTAGAAGACGTTGCACCTTTAGTCCTACCTGGCCTTCTCCATGGGTTCTCTTTAGCAATGTGATTTATTCCTTGCTAAATGCAGACTGATGCTTACAAGTATTGCTGCAACGACTCACACACATTGCCATGCCAAGCACGGAACTTCTCAGCCTTCCTTTCCTCCCTGAGACCTGTGGAGCTGGGTCTTTGTGCTGCCTTTGGATTAACTGCACAGTAGCTTTCCCCATCTCCCCTGCCTGCCTTTGCTGGCAGCGTGGATGTGAGAGCTGTGCCAGCATTTGGCCTGTAGTGCATGTCCTAAATAGTTATTTACACAGTTTGAGACCATTTTAGTCAACTGGGTAAATAACAGCCCTCTTCAAAAGATTTATAAATCCATAAATATGTCTTTATACATACCCAATAGACAGAAATAACTCAATCTGTCAAGAACATATCCAAAGAGGTGTTTCCCCCACAGACAGGAGTAATACATATTTTAAAACTTTCTCTGCTGTATTATTTGTACTGCATTTCTTTCTTCCTCATTCCTGTTCAATTTTCACCACTTCATTATGGCACCTGTGGCACAAAAAAAGGAAATCCCCTAGGCTTTGGTCCTCTGCTAGATAACCTTATCTGCTACACAGTGTAGGCATCTAACAGGCTGTATCTCAACTGAGGCCTGATCTTTTGGACTTTCAAAGTAAATAAAATAAAGTAAGTCATCCAGGAAATTTGTAACGTTCTGGTAGATTTCAAAATATAGTAACAGTTCCTAGAATTTCAGCCATTTGGAGGATTTTGAGTGCCTGATGATAATTTTGCCAAATTAGTGGCTGTTTCAATGGACAGAGTAGGTTTGACCTAAATTTTTTCTTAAGCTTAAAAAAACTACAATATCCAATCTAGGGCATTCTAAAGAGAGTCTAGGTGAGGTGTATAATTAAGAAAATAACTAAAACTGTTGTCTATTTGGGGACTCAATAATGTTTATTCATGATTTACATAGTGTAGCTTTCCCCTAACTCAAATTATTTATCATGGCAACTCTTCTTATGATAGCCTTTCATTTAATATTAGCACTTATGACCCCTAGGAGGAAATCAATACTTTGAAAGTGAAGTTCTTTTAAATTGGCATTTAAAGGAAAGGCCTACCATGTGTATTTGGTCGAGGGTTCTGTGACTGCTGTTACAACATTGATTTTGTCTACTCTTTGACTTTCTCAAAGTACTTCCGAAAGTACTAGAATATTTATTTAATCCCTGTCAATTATTTGCTATCGTCCGATTTCAGAAGAGAAAAAACTGACACTCATAAATATTGAAGGGTGAATAACATTAGAGGAGGCTCTAGGATCTTGGTCTTGGCCTTTGTAACTGCCGTTAGACAGGGTGTTTTGGGGATGCCCAAGCAGCAACTCATAAAATGAGCTACACATTGGCAGATACTTGACCCTTTCACATGTACTTTTGATTCTACCTACTGCTGTTGTCCTACTGACTGTCATCATGGTCTATTCTAGGAAGTGTGTGGTCTGGTGTGGGAAAACGCCAAGCAAATCTGGCACTTCCCCGCCTGGGGTGTGTACTCTCCGGGGACAACATGCTGCAGCCCCTCTACAACTGCTGAGCAGTGTCAGCTATGACTGACCACAGTTTGAGTTTGGGCACATCTGTATTTTTAGTTTAAAGTCAAGGGAGGAGAATGAGTGATAGTAATTAAATAATAGAAGAACATTGGAAGGGCCGAGCTGTCAGTCAATCAGTATAGGCATTTCCATCCCTCACTTTGTAAATGAGGTCATGGGAGTTCAGAAAGGCCAGGAGACTTGCCCAAAGTCACATCCTCAGTGATGGTAGAGTCAAGACTTGAACCCAACAGTCTGACTCCCGAGCCCACACTCCTAACTACCACATCCTACTTGATAAAATACTTTAGTGTGATAGGATGGAAGGAAAGATTATTTGATGAGTGTTCTTTCCACTGTCAATTCTGCCACTCTTTCACCAGTGTCCGCGCTGGGCTCTGTGTGGTTATGAGTGGAATGGCGTGTTAGCCTCTGGGGGCGGGGGGCGGTCATACTTGCTGGGGAGTGGGAATCTAGTTTTGTGTGTTAAGTAGAATGATGATGGAGGTATTTACAGAGGAGCAGGCTGATTGATATGATTGATTTGTATTATGTATTAAGAGCCTATACGATTTCACTCATTCAAAGATTTATTGAGTTGAGAATAGGGCATAGAAAACAAGGAAGGACATTTCTCTCGAAGAACATTTCCCACTTAAAGCTCATCTCATTTTCCTCTTTTGTGAGGGAAAGAAAAAGTATTATTTCTACATTGAAATCTGATGTGAAACATTTCACTCCTAAACGACTTTAATGATCGCTGGAACTCTAAAACCCACTTATGAACTTCTCCTTTGGGGGCAGGACTCAGATCAACAATAGTATCTGCTCCCACACACAAAAAAGCACAAAACAGCATGTTTCTTTAAAGAGGAACAATTGAAAAGCACTGCTATTTCTTTATAATAATGTATCAATAGTTGCATCACCTCCCACGGCCCCATCCCCCACCAAGCCAGCTTTTGTATGAGTTCAGGCAACCTATAGGCAGAAGGCAATTCCATTTATTATTGAAGGGAATCTCAAGGCAGTTGTTTGAGACCCGGGAAGCCAGCAGGCAGGGCTGGATGAGAGGGCCTGGGGAGCAAGGGGAGAGGGAAGAGGGAAAGGGCCACATTATGTTACAGATGACTGAGCAACGATTTATATTCCAGCTCGCCTTTTTACATGAAGAAGAAAAGTAATAACAGCCCAAACCCAGGCATTTAAAACAGTCAGCTGTCCGATGAATAATGGGATAGGTGGGAAGGCGCTCTCTGATTGGATGTCTTAA